GCCGTCATCAAACAAATGTACCAAATGAAATGCTCCAAGTAAAACGTAAATTATAAGAAAGGATATGTTAGTTACCAAAAATTATTCAGTGTCAATCTTTCTGCAGAATGAAAGTATCTACTGTATAGCATTAAAACATCAATAATATATAACATTTTTATTTTTATTTTTTTGCTAGCCAGCCGAGTGTCCGTTTTATCTCATGGGTCTTAAGAAAGTCCTTCAATATATAACATTTTTAATAACTGTTTCAGCTGCTTTTTTCCCTCCCAGCTCTCCTCACTATGGAAATAATGATTTCTGCATAAATATAGAGAGCATTCAGCCATAGCCAATAGTTGTTGTCCATTTGGCCAGGTTTGAATATTCTTAACGATATATGCTTAAGCAACAACCTTCAAACATCTTGGAGAACATAACCTTTTATGTGCATAATGCGTTTCTAAGGGCTTAGTATCTCATTTATATCTGGAGGGCAGTGATATTACACTAAGTCATAATGTCAGCGTAAAACAATTCAAAGCAGCATTTATATTTCCTAGATAAGTACATAACGCGTTTTGAGTACATTTCTCTATCTAAGACCACAGATAGTCCTTGCTTAATGATGGTTGCATAGTAACCATTCAAAGTTATGACAGGCCACCTAAAAGCTGCTTATGACACCGTTCCAAAAGTTCTGACGACTGCACACATCACATTTCAGGTACTTGACAGCTAGCTCACTTTTTATGGAGGGTTACAGCATTCCATGATCATATGAGTATGATTTATGACATTTTTTTGCCAGTTTTCAGCCTTATTTGGCTGGTTTCCAATAAAAAAAATGCCCAGCGGGATACATTGATTTGTATTTAACAACCACCTGTTAGCAACTACCATATTCACTTGACCATGGTGTTTAACAACTGGAGCAAAAAAATAATAATAATCAGGTTCAGTCTGTGCATGCAGTCTGTGGATTGATTTACAATGAATATTCTGGGTTCCACTATAGAAAGAAATGAAGGACTATCTGTATATTTTGTTGCCAAAGAGAAGCAGCGAAGAGGCTATTTTCTGAAATAAGGGAGGAATTCTTCCCTTGTTTGATTGTATTATATATATATATATATAAT